AAGATACAATCTAACCACTGTCCCTTGACAACTTGGTGTTACCATCACTGAATCCCCCACTATCAACATTCTGAGGGTTACCATTGACCAGAAACTCAACTGGACTCACCACATTAACAGAGTGGCTACAAGAGCAGGCCAGAAGCTAGGAATACTGTGGCAAGTAACTCACCTCCTGACTCCCCAAAGCCTGTCCACCATCTACAAGGCACAAGTCAGGAGTGTGATGGAATGCTCCCCACTTGTCTGGATGAGTGCAGCCCCAACAACATTCAAGAAGCTTGACACCATCCAGGACAAAGCAGCCCACTTGATTGACATTACATCCACAAGCATCCACTCCCTCCACCACCGACGCTCAGTAGCAGCAGTGTGTACTATCTATTTAGATGCACTACAGAACTTCACTGAAGATCCTCAGACAGCACCTTCCAATCCCATGACCACTTCCATCTAGAAGGATAAGGGCAGCAGATACATGGGAACACCACCACATCCAAGTTCCCCTCCAAGCCACTCACCATCCTGATTTGGAAATATATCGCCATTCCTTCACTGTTGCTGGGTCAAAACCCTGGAATTCCCTACCTAATAGCATTGTGGGTCAGCCCATGGCAGGTGGACTGCAGTGGTTCAAGAAGGCAGCTCACCACCACCTTATCAAGGGGCAACTAGGTACGGGCAAGAAATGCTGGCACAGCCAGCGACACCCACATCCCACAAATCAATCAATAGAAAAAAAAAACACAACCATCTTCTTTAATGCCAGTGATGACTTCAACAGGCAGAGAATTTGTCCCGATACCCATCAATTCCAGTTTTCCTAGGGCTCCTTAATACCACAGTTGGTCGAATGTGGACTTGATGTCAAGGGCTGTCACTCTCCCCTCACCTCAGCTCTTTTGTCCACATTTGACCAAGGCTGTAATGAGGTCAGGAACTGAGTGGCCCTGGCAGAACCCAAACTGCTGGTGATGACACCTTCCATCACTTTACTGATGATCAAGAATAGACATTTTTTTAATATTCATTTACGGGATGGGGGCATCACTGGCTAGACTAGCATTTATTAGCAATCCTTAATTGCCCAGAGGGCAGCTAAGAGTCAACCACATGGCTACAGGTCTGGAGTCACACGCAGGTCAGACCAGGTAAGGATGGCAGTTTCCTTCCCTAAAGGATATTAGTGAACCAGATGGGTTCCCCCCGCCGATAATTGACAATGAATTCATGGTCATCATTAGACTCTTGATTCCAGATTTTCATGGAACTCAAATTCCACCATCTGCCATAGCATGGTTTGAACCTGGGTCCCCAGAATATTACCTGGGTGTCTGGAATAGCGGCCCAGCAATAACACCACTAGGCCATTGCCTCCCCTGGGGCCTAATTGATTGATTTTATTGTCACGTGTACTGAAATACAGTGAAAAGCTTTGTTTATGAGCGGTACAGCCAGATCACAGCAAGCAAAGGATGTACAGATCAAGAAGGCTTAGAGGCATACAGGTTACATTATTTGAGGCTGGAGTCCATTCAACAGTCTGATAACGGCCGGAAAGAAGCTGTTCCTGAACCTGCCCGTGCATGTGTCCAGGCTTCTGTATTTTCTGCCTTACGGATGAGGTTGTGGGAGATCATTACCGGGGTGTGATGGGTCTTTGATGATGTTGGCCGCCTTTCCTTGGCAGCGAACCATGTAAATGGAGTTCATGGATGGAAGGCTGGCTTCCGTGATGGTCTGGGCTGTGCACACCACCTTCTGTAGTTTCTTACAGTCTTGGGCAGAGCAGTTGCCATACCAGGCCATTATGCTTTGAGTGGTGCATCTGTAGAAGTTGGTGAGGGACTTTACGGATATGACAAATTTCCTGAGCTGCCATAGAAAGAAGAGGTGTTGTTCTGCCTTCTTGACTGTCGCATCTACATGGGAAGTCCAGACAAGTTGTCGGCTGTTGGTTCTCAGGAGGTTTCCTTGACCATGTTTAATCTGAAGCCACAAGACTTTATGGAGTGCAGAGTTAATGTTGAGGACTCCCACGGCAACTCCTTCTTTACTGTGTATCACGGTGTCAACACCTCTGCTGGGTCTGTCCTGCCAATGGGATAGGATGCATCTAGGGACGATGATGGTGGTGTTTGGTACGTTGTCTGCAAAGTATGATTCCATCAGTATGACTATGTCAGGATGCTGTCTGACAAGTCTGTGAGACAGCTCTCCAATTTTGGCACTAGCCCCCACACAGTAGTAAAGAGAACTTTGCAGGGTCAACAGGGCTGTTTCTGATGTTGTCTTTTCCGGTGCCAAGATCGATGCCAGGTGGTCCATCTGGTTTTATCTCTTTGTTGAAACTTCACAGCAATTGGCACAACTGAGTGGCTTGTTGGGCTATTTCAGAAGGCAGTTGAGAGTTGGTCTGCAGTCACGTGTAGGCCAGGCCAGATGAGGATGCCAGATTTCCTTCCCTGAAGGACATCAATAAGCTTGATTTTTTTCTTTGACAATCGTCATCAGTAGAATCTTAATTTCAGATATTTTTAAGTTGAATTCAAATTCCACCATTTGCCGTGGTGGCACTCAAGCCCCAGGACATTAGCTGAGTTCCTGGGTTAACAGTCTAGTGATAATACCAAGTGATATTAAGCTATCTGGAAAAATGACATTCCAAAGCTTGTATCAGAGATAGTAGGAACTGCAGATGCTGGAAAATCTGAGATAACAAGGTGTGATGCTGCTTGGCCTGCTGTGTTCATCCAGCTCTACACCTTGTTATTCCAAAGCTTGAACTCTTTGCTTTCAGACGCTTATCATTCCACTTTATATTTCCAGAACTTTCTGGCTTTGTATGAACCAGAACTACTTTGTAGCAGAGATTATGTTCAATATAAGGTGTACTCAATCTATATGTTGTAACAAAGAATATTATGGTATCGAATATACTTTGAAGCACTTTTACAATGCTACTTTGTTTCTCAGAGTGTGTCACTTATGTATGATTTCAGAAGAGCACTGCGCCTTTTTCCTGTCATTTGCACCACAGCTCCTGGCTGAAAGATACAGTGATACTTGTTTTCTACGCTGTGACGTCGGCTCTTCAAACTCATGCAACCTGGACAGAATAGCAAAGAAGGAAATACTCAGCAGATTAGGCATCTGTGTGGTGAAACTAAAGTTGGCCATTGATCTTTCAGATCTAAGACCTTGCCACAGGAATGGAAGCCAGATTGTTTTATATTAGGCAGTGTTACCAAAGGGAGGAGGACAGTCCTTGTCAATGACCCCAGTGTAAAAGTGCTCACTAAGAATTGCAACCAAGTAGGTAAATTTTCCACTTCAACTCTGCTGACAAGTGGTGCTGAATAAATGCCTGATACTTGTTCAGAGGGAGAGAAAGTTAGTGGGAAAAACACTCTCGGCCACTTTTGCATACCTCCTAGCTGATCAAAAGCGGCTTTGGCAGAGAACAGGAACAGGCCTCCTGCCCACTCTTTTGCCTTGGAATGGTACATGGTGTGGAAGAACCTATAAGGGGAAAAAATTAAATGTTTTAAATGGTACAGGGGAGGGGAAGAAAGAATATGAAAGCAAATGCCATGCATGCATTTTGACACTCATTGTGTGGTTACAGTCAGCAGTATGGGAGGGAGGGATGGCTCATGAGGTCCCTTTCATAATAATTTCATACACTTCCTGTTAAAACCATTTAGGGTGGCACAGTGGCTCAGTGGTTAACACTGCTGCCTCACATCGCCAGAGATCCAGGTTCGGTTTCAGCCTTAGGCGTGTGTATGTGTGGAGTTTGCACTTTCTCCCCATGTCTATGTGGGTTTTTCCGGGTTTCCTCCCACAGTCCAAAAATGTACAGGTAAGGTGGATTAGCAATATTGTCCAGGGGTGTGCAGGTTAGGTGAATTAGCCATGGAAAAATGCAGGATTAAAGGGATAGGGTAGGCTGGTGGGTCTGTGTGGGATGGTCTTCAGACGCTTGATGGGCTGAATGGCCTGCTTCCACACTGTAGAGATAATATAATTCTATAATAGTTGTTATTGCTCAAACATTTTCAGTAGCTGCTTTGTTCCTGCCCAGACACAGCAAGAGATTGGCAACCAAGTTCCACCATCACCTTCCGAAGCTAAGTAATTGAGTGAACACAGGTCTGGGCTACACAGTGCACTTACACATACGTAGAGGTTGGTGGAAAAAGAATTGGATTGTCACACACTCTTACATCAGTTTAATATCAATGTCTATATGAGAAAATGAACGAAATTAGATGATACCCAAAGCAAATGTTCCACACAAACTCATACCGAGAGCAATTTCTCTCAGTGGAACAAAGAAGCTTAAAGGGTGGTCTGAAAAGGTTTTCCAAATATCATGAAACTTTTTAAAAGGATAAATGAAGAGAACTTTTCTCCAACATTGACGAATCAGGAACAAGGGATACAAAATATGGATGATCACAAGAAAACCAAAAGGGGGAATTAGAAGAATACTGGCAGATATTGAATCATTAAAATGTGGAAGTCAAGTAGTAATTGAGACAAACTACATCATTACTGAAAAGGATATTTGAAATGAAAGACAATAAGAAGTTACAGGAAAGAGCGGGCTGTTGGGATTATCATAAATAGTTTTGGCTGAAGGGCTAGACTGGCACAGGTTTGCAGCCAAATTGGCCTTCCTCATTTGCTATAATCCTTATGAGTCTATATGGTTTGTGCCTTTAAATTCCAAACATTGAGCTCTCTGGAAAACTCTTCAGCTAAATAACACAGTTCCATCAATCACGTTAACAGACAGATCCATTGCCAATATACGTTAAAAAAAATTATATATTTTACTTGCTGTAATGTTATAATTGTTTCTTAATTGAATTTTGGTTTAGCCACACTCTGCTATGCGCAGTTGCATCAAATTTATTCCTTTTTGAGTAACTTAAAAACATGTTTTGCAATAGAATATATGCTTGTATTCATGAGAGTTTCTCAATTCATACCGTGATTTTCCAAGTACATTTACTGTTGGGCGGGTAGAGTCTAGGGAATCCCTCACTTCCAATAAAACCTGACTCTCCACTTCGTATTCCTCCACATTTAAAGTTCCTGGAAAAGGCAACAAAAAAACCCATCAAATTTGCAAATAACCAAATTTTACACTTTATTCATGCTGTCTTTCAGAAGACATAAGCCTGAGAATGATGCTACTTATTACCATTATGAAACCAACACATTTCTGTCAAATTCCTCTATTTGCTATTAAACCAAGCAAGAAATTAGATGCAAGTCATGATGCATTCAATGCTATCAAGATACCATTATGTTCCACCTTAACTTTCTTCCTGACATTACAAGTTAGTAATCTAAACACAGCGGTTCTGTTAATATCAAAAACAATTAGATCTTTTTGATAAATAAAGCAAAAAACTGCCAATGCTAGAGATCGGACACAAACAAAATGGAAGTTGTTAGAGAAACTCAACAGGTTTGACAGGATCTGTGGAGAGAAAAGAGTGTTAATGTTTCTAGTCCAGTGATCCTTATGCTGATCAGCATAAATACCATCTTTCTCTAGGAGCATCGGTTCTGAAGGGTGACTGGACTCAAAACGTTAACTGTTTTCTCTCCACAGATGCTGGTAGACCTGCTGAGTTTCTCCAGCATTTTCTGTATGTTTCAGATTTTTTGCAGGACCTCTGTTAAGATCAAAACATAATTAGATCTATTTGATAGCTATTATCTGAAGTGCATTCCAAATCTGTCTTAAAGCCAAGTCACCATGATCTGCAATATACACTGATATAGCGTTTCAAATTTGCACAAGGTTTCCCTGGTCTAGCAAACCAGCAACATGGATGTTTACTGTAAATATACTCCACATCTTTCATATATGTTGCCAGTTGACACAAGATCGTTCATGATCATGACATAGTCTGTCTAAAACTAATCTTCATTTCATTAACAGAAGTTTTTTTTCACCCTGGGCATGTTATATTGCATTCAGGGCAACAGATACCAGCAAATGCAGCACTGTGGATCTATCCACGGTACGTGGACTGCGACGGTTCAAGAAGTCAGCTCTCCATCTTCTCAAGGGCAACTAGGGATGGGCAATAAAAGCTGGCTCAGCCAGCAATGCCTACATTCTGTAAGTGTATTTAAAAAAAGCAATACAGGCAAGTTATGTGTCTGAGTATACACACACACACACACACACATTAGAATAGGTCACTAAGTCAAAAGTTTTCAGCTTTCTCGCATCTTTGTTGCACACCCAGTACTCAATTTTCTGAGTAAGGAGCAGACACATTTTGCAGTGGGTGCCACCTGGCTCTGTTAAGTCACTTTCTCAGAACGATTTTTAAAACACTCTTATTCGAGTCCTGACATTTTGTTTTTGTACGTTTGCCTACCTGTACCCAGAACAACAAACTATAATGCCAGCAAGTAAAACTCTCTGGAGGGCAATAAAGTCCAGGAATTGAGAGTTCAGTGTAAGGGAACAGAGGATGATTTGAAACCACAGTGCAATAAATCGCCTGTTTAAACAAACAATCACTAGGTTTCACTTAATAGAACTGGGACCACCAACCGTTTCGAGGCACAAACGTTAAACCATCACTAAAACCAGGATGACAGAAAAATGTCGACGATGTGAGGCACAGTTAAAATTTTGGCAAATAAAAATCAAACTTCATCTCCAGCACATATATAGATCGGGAGATGCAAACGTTTACCAAAACAAAAATCACCGAACTTGGGTCAAAAGTTTACAAACTTGTTGTTGAAAAAAATTCCTTTACCTTTTTCCTGGTGGGAGCTGACACGAAACGAGAGTCGCGCACAACAGCCCGAGGTAAGGGAAGCCGACGGGTTTCATGGTGATCACTGAGGGTCGGCGGAGAGAAGGATGGAGGAGGCGAGCGGGGTCTCGGTGCCGCCTGTTGCCCCTTTCTTGAAGGAATCAGGCAGCTCTCCGGCTGTACATGCAAACTGCGTCTGTTCTTCAGAGGAGGAGACAGCTCAGCTTTCCCCGCGTCACTTGCCTTTTCCTTTGCCCTTAAAAAAATCCTCATCCAAATAATGTAATTTTGAACAAAACGCACGCAGGTTCAATGGGTCGGCCTTAAATAAATGGAACTCTCACTTAAAAAAAAACTTTAAATTGAAATTTCAGAGAGTAATTCTCGAGGATCTATTCTGGTTCACAATGGAAAGGGAAAATTCTTTGCTCAACAGGAGAGGGCGGGAGATTAACCAAATCAGACTTTTATACCGTCTGTTGACTTTGAATTGCTAAGTGCCGTATTTTTCAATTTCCCTTTTAGAGACAACCCTGTGCAAAGTGAAGGTCGCTTTGGCTAAGACCCAAACTGAAGCGGGAACAGGGGCGGAGCAATCCCTTCAATACCAATGGCGGTTTCTGCAGAACTGGCGAAATTTAATCGAGGACCTTTATAAAGGCGCCGCGTTGACTGAAGTGGACAATCCTTATAACGTTACCACTGAAATCTGTTTTCTCCCCTCTCCCCAAACAAAAATTATACTGTAGCCCTTTCAATATCGAAGGTACTTTAAATCTATTACAAAAAACTAAACTGCAGAACATTTGGAAGACAGTTGCAGGATTGGGTAAAGACAGTATGTATTTACATTGGAATTTTTCAGTGATGTGTCCAGTAGAGTTGATAAGAGGGAACCAGTAGTTGTGGTTTACAGTCAGTTCTGCTATAATGCAATAGTAGCATTCCTGTGCAACATCGTGTTGTAGAAAATCGCACTATAGAAATAACAGGGCCTATGGGAAAAGTAGGGTTAGGGATAGACCACCAAAAAAAAAATCACTCAAAAACCTAACACAAAGGATAGCACAGTTTGAATAAATGTTTAATTCATATCTAATAAGGAAATAAAAGTAAATTTAACATCTTACCTTGAAAAAACGTCAAGATGACTTGATGGAGGAGGAGGTTTTGAGGTTGCTCTGTTGTTAATGCAGGGGCTGAGGATCCTCATCATCATCATCATCACCTTCAGGTGCAGTTGTGGTTGCAGGGTTAGGGTGAAAAATAATTAATCCAATAGTGAATGGCTGTGGTTCATTGTCTTCTGACTGTTTCTTGGGGTTGGATTAAAAAAGACATTCAGTTTTTGCTGCTTCTCCCTTTTTCTTCTTTCATGAAGAAGCTGTTCATAGGGTGCCAAGTAAGATCTTATTCTACGAACTGCTACCCTGCTGCATTCTGCATTACATTCATTGTTCTCTAAGAGCTGCAACTGCTTCTTAATTTCCCTCAGGATAGAAGAGAAAACAGAAGTGCAAAGCTCTCGTTGTGCTGCATCCTGGACTTCACCTTCTTCATATCCAGCTTCCACTTCCCCATAATGACAAGTTGTTGTAGATCAGCTGTAGAGAGATCTTCACAGTGGTACTCAAGCAGCTCTTCAACATCATCAGTCTCCACTCTTCAAATCGCATTTTAGCCAACACATGTTCACATTTTAGAAATAGTGCACCCCTATTCGTCAGGTGGGTTATAGCCAATTCACGTTGCCGGAAGATGCGTTATAGCAGAACTGACTTTACTTGGACTTTCAGAAGGTATTGGATAAAATCCCACATAAGATATTAGTGCATGGGATTGGGGGTGGTGTACTGACATAGATAGAGAACTGGTTTGGCAGATAGGGAACAAAGAGTAGGAATAAATAGGTCTTTTTCTGAAAGGCAGGCAGCGACTAGTGGGTTACCGCAGGGATCAGTGCTTGGATCCTGGCTATTCACAATATATGTTAATGATTTAGATGAGGAAACTAAATATAATGGGATTAGATTAGTTAGGTCATTTCTGACTGGTGCAGATCGATGGGCCATTTTCTTTGCTGTACACCTCTACGACTCCAATGCCTCCATGTCTCCAGTCAGTACAAAGCTAGGTGAGAGGGTAAGGGTGCAGAGATGCTTCAATGTCATTGGACAAGTTGAGTGAGTGAACAAAGGCATGAGGATGAAATATAATGTGAGGTGAAACACTTTGGTAGCAAATAGAGTACTGTTCAGCCATGATCATATTGAATGGCAGAACAGGGTCGAGGGGCTGAATGGTCTACTCTTGCTCCTATTTTCTAGGTTTCTATTATTCTGCCTCTTCTGTGGCTGTCAGAATGCACTTCACATTTAACAATATTCAATATTACCCACTCTTTTCATCAGTAATTTTCATTTCCACTTGAACCAAGACATCTTCACAGAATCACAGAATTTTTGCATCGCAGGAGGAGACTATTCAGCCCATTGTGCTTGAATTAGCTTTTTAAATGAGCATCAATTCCAAGTGCTGATCTCCTGCATTCCCCCATATCACTGCACACTATTGTTATAAAGCTGAGATTGACCCCCCCGAAAACTAAAACTGAAACACCCAAAGAGGAGCACCTTGCCCTATAATCTGTAAAAGGAGTGTGAAAAGTGGTGTAACCTGCCTTTCAGCGACTTCTAGTGGTTAAATAAAACAAATCCCTGACACTCCTAATCAATAAGTAACCATTTATTTATCTAACTCTAACAGTGAACAAATGAACTAAATTATTAACAAACCAAATAAATCCCTTCTAACTACTAACTATTCCCAAATAAAACAAGATTCTAAAAGTATGCTGTTCCAATAAATATAACTCCCACTTATATAAAATAAAATTTAAAAAATAGAATTTAGTCTCTCAAAATTACAGCCAGATTAAGTGTCTTCTGGAATGCTCTGTGCCTTCTCCATCAAATGTTCTGTCAGGAATGCCTTATCCATTGATACTTCTGTCAGGAAAATTAAATAGTTGTACCATTGGTACCTTTGATTTTTCTTAGATGGTGCTTTCTTTAAGATTTAGAGTAGCCTGTGAGAGCCAGTGTTTCTCTCTCGAGAGCTGGGAGTTGTTAACTTTGGCAGATAGTTCTCCTGTCATTATCCAACTGCCCCTTCTTTTATACCTTGATGACGTATCAATTTCTTACAGTCGGATTGGTCCTATGTTGTCAAAACCATCACATGTAAATTTAATTGGTTTGTGGTATCTAAATGGCTGGTTCAAATTGATTGACTAAATTCAAAACTTGTTGTTGGTATCAAAACAAAATTACTGCTTGGGCTGTTAACTGTTTGGCATTTTGATACATATGTTTCGATTCAAGTACTCTCTGTGCACCTGCAAACCACAAGCTGCTGCTCACATACATCCTTTTTGAATCTTTAAGCAGAGAAAAAGCACATCATCTTTTAAAGGGACCATGCACTTCCTTCCCCCCTAGCATTTTACAAACACCAATATTTTACAAACACGAAATTCTAACGTCCTGCCTCCCAATCCACAAACATTGTACCTAACTTTGCAACACCATCTTTATCCAAATAATCTGTAATGCCTTCTTGTACATCTCAATCAAACTTGCCTCCACCACATTGCCAAGCTTCAAAAATAGTATCTTGGAAAACATGAGATAATATCATGTGCATTTTGATGTGGAAACATTAACTGTAATATTTTCTAAATTAATTCAATTTTGATAGCACCAGGTGGAAAGATCATAACTGATCATCCAACTCAGCACCCAGTTCCCACTTTCACCCCATACTCGTTGATCTCTTCAGCCCTAAGAATTGTATCTAACTCCTTCTTGAAAACATTGAAGATGTGACCTCAACAACTTTCTGTGGTAAGGAATTCCACAGGTTCACCACTTTCTGGGTGAAGAAATTTCTCCTCATCTCAGTCCTAAATGGCCTACCTTGTATCCTTATACTGTAACCCGTGTTTCTGGACTCCCCAGTCATTGGCAACATCTTTCCTGCATTTATTTTAAAGAGCACCCACTGTTTTAACATCTTCTCGCAACAAACCAGGGTCCCTTGTGCCATTAAGGACAGTCTGATCTGGAAAGGGACTTATGCCAGACAAGAAACAAGTTCAGACCGTGATCAGGACTAATGTGTCAACTGAATGTCCCAATCAACATCTTAGCCAAATTATTATTCAGATTCATCAAGTGTCACCCTTCATTTGCTAGTCAATGACCATCTCCAATAAGAGACAATGTAACCACCACCACTTTACATTCAATAGCGTAACCATGACTGAATTCCCCCACTGTCAACATTTCAAGCGAAGGGGGGTAACATTGACCAGACACTTAACTGGCCTTGCCACGTAAACACAGTGGCAACAAGAGAAGGTCAGAAGTTAGGAATACTGCAGCAAGTAACTCACCTCCTGTTTTCCCAGAGCCTGTCCACAATCTGCAAGATTCAAGTCAGGAGTATAATGAAATTCCTGCATGGATGCAGCTTCAACAACACTCAAGAAGCTTGACACCATCCAGGACAAAACAACCCACCTGATCGGCATCACATCCACAAACATCCACTCCCTTCACCACTGACAATCAATAGCAGCAGTGTTTACCATCTATAAGATGTACTGCAGAAGTACACCAAGGATCCTCAGACAGCACATTCTAAACCCACAACCCCTTCTATCCAGAAGGACAAGGGCAGCAGATACACGGGACACGACACCCTGTAAGTTCCCTTCCAAACCACTCACCATCCTGACTTGGAAATCTATCGCCGTTCCTTCATTGTCACTTGGTCAAAATACCGGAATTCCCTCTCTAAAAACATTGTGGATCTACCTACCGCTCATGGACTGCAGCGGTTTCAGAAGGTAGCTCACCTTCTCAAGGGCAACTAGGGACAGGTAATAAATGCTGGCCCCAGTCAACAACGCCTCATCCCACAAGTGAATGAAAAAATGTAAACATGGAACTTATATCTTCACATGCTATGATTTGCTCAAAGTAACCACCACCTGACTTGTAAATGGATTCGGAGATCAGAACATGGTCAGCATGGACTGGTTAAACCGAAGGGTCTTTTTCCATGCTGTTTCACTCTATGGCTCTATGATATGACTCATTGGGCTAATAATCACCTGCTAACAATCCTTTCACCAGTTCCCCAAAAGGGGGAAAATGTTTGTATGAGGATATGCTAAGAAGAAGTGCTATTGATCAGTAGATAGTAGATGTATACTCTAATTCCTCATGTGATGAGCTCCACGCTTCAGTAGCTCAATCACATTTAGTCATATTTGCTGCCAATCTATCAATTATTGCTGCAGTTTGTTTTCTATTCTTTTAGTGTGCTCAAGTCAGATCAATTTCTTTCTCACCAAATTCTTTATTCAGTCTTGTTTAATTTCCTGTGCATATCCACATCTGTTTCATGAGTTTAATGAATGAAAATTATTTTTATTCTTATTATTCCAATGAACCATTCTCCAGGAGTTCCTTAGGGTAGAATATTAACCATCCCAGCTGCGTCATCAATGACCTCACCTCCATCATAAGGTTGGAAGTAGGGATGTTTTCTGATGATAATACAATGTTCAGCATCATTTGCGACCTCTCAGATACTGAGGCAGTCCATGCCACTATGCACCAAGACCTGGATAAATTTCCAGTTTGGGTTGATAGGCAGCAATTAACATATGAGCTGGGGAAATGACAAGCAGAGACTACCTTTAACAAGGTAAAAACCTGACCATTTCACCTTGGCATTCAACAGTATTACTTTTGGTCAAACACCCATCATCAACATTTTAGGATTCGGTTTTGGCCAAAACTTGAACTGGACCAGTCATATAAATACTGTGGCTACAAGAGCAGGTCAAAGGCTGGGAATTCTGTGATTAACCCACTTCTTGACTCCTCAAAGCCTGTCCACCATCTGCAAGATACAG